ACATCTTCAGCTTAAAAATGTTTTTCTTGTGGATTGATAAATTCAGAATTTGATTTGATTTATACTGACTTTTGTTAGACAATATATTTAGTGAAATCTTAAAAAAAAACCCTATGATACTGAAGGGTTTCTAAACCCAAAAGGTTGCTTAAATATTTTTTTCCCACTATTTAAGTTGATCTAATAAAATATATCAGATTCACCCAAAGAACCTTGTCTGCCTATGTCTTTAGACCTACACCCCTATGATACTAAAGGAATTCTAAACCCAATGCTTTAGTTATACAAAAGTTGGATAGGCCAATGATTTTTTTTCTGCAGCAACATGAACTATGATACACTGGACATGTCTACATAAGATACTACGTCACTTTAGCGATGAGCTATGGCAATGTAGCATCAGCAGGCACAAACCATGATACTAATGCTACATCATTGTAGCATCTAAAAATAACTGCAACTCTGGAACTGAACAGTACAGGCAGGTACTGCTCAGTAATTTAGGCTAGGGACAGACATTACACGTAAACTGGTTTAAGTGATCAGAAACTGGCTTAAACCTGTAACAGAACAGATGTTCCGTGCACTTAAACCAGTTTGAAAATGGCTGAAACTGGTTTAAGATAAACCTGGTTGAATGTAGTATCAGAAGTTAATTGATTTGGTTCAAACCAGTTTATGCAATGTCTGTCCCAGACCCCTTGCTGGTTTAAGTTAAATCAGAGTCCCCCAACATCCCAGCATGATCTCTGCACTGGGAGTGGCTCTCTGCTCCACAGCAGAGCTGCTCCCTCCCCTCTGCTCCCTGGCTTGAGCTTGGCACAGACTAGTAGGCACAGCAGGGTCTGCTGGCTTCCTTGTGTCCCTCTCTCCCCGCCCCCCGCTCACTGCTTAAAGCAGAGGTCCCTTCCTCCTCTATGCCACAGCAGGGACCATAGCCAGCATGTGGTATACTAGTTAACTAGTTAATGCTGAGAGGTGTCTGTGTGTGTCTCTCTCCAATTTCACTGGGACAGGCAGACAGAACAGTGACCGCTTTGGGCTTTTGAAGCTAACCAACAGGTCAGCCGGTAAACTGTTTTTTAAAAAATTTGAAATAATGTGGAGAGAGGCCATTGTTTTGCTAATCAGGTGATAAAGAATGTTATCAACCCCCCAGCTGGCTTGTTCGCCTGTCATTTTGCTGCAGGCAGTATGACGAAGCAGGGAGGGAGATTGAAAAGCTCCCTATCATCAACAGATGCATGCATTGCACACCCACCCTTGCCTTAGAGTGCTAGCAGGGGGTTGGAAACACTCCATCCCTTGAGCAGCCAGCAGGGAAAAGCTTGGGACTGTTCAGGTGGACAATCCTAATCAGAGAGTCCTGCCAGGGCCTGGCCATGCCCTCTTCAGCCCAGCTCCCTGCAGAAGGGAAGGGAGGGCTGCTCTAGCACCCCCAGCTTCTAGCTTGGGCCACTGCAGTATGTGCCTGAATTTCCTCAGAGAATGTCTGTCCAGTTTCAAACCAGTTCAGCCTAGTCAGGTTAGACTGACTTGAAAAGATTGAATCAATTCAGGTTCAGGCTTTTTGAATGTCTGTCCCTAACCTTAGTATGCAAGTACTAAATGACTGCACAGTACCAAATGTGCAGACTCGGGGGCACACGTAGTTGTGTCCACTGTGTAATATTTTGGCTTATTATTTATGATGATAATACTGCATACTATTTTCTATGAACAGAATCCATTAAAATTATTAATGGGGACCTGGTGACCTTCTGTAAACTCACTAGAGGGGACCAGAAGGGTTTGGGAGGGACCTTGTTTCCCCTAGCGCCCCCTGGCATAACAAGGAATAACGGCCACAAGTTGTTGGAGAGTAGGTTTAGCTTAGACATCCGTAAGAACTACTTCACAGTTAGGGCAGCTAGGATCTGGAACCAACTTCCAAGGGAAGTGGTGCTGGCTCCTACCCTGGGGGGTCTTTAAGAAGAGGCTTGATGCCTACCTGGCTGGAGTCATTTGAGCCCAGTTTTTCTCCTGCTCAGGGAGGGGGTTGGACTTGAAGATCTACAATGTCCCTTCCGACCTTACTTCTATGATTCTTTGACTAGTTAATGCTATCACTTCTAAATGGATGGAGAAGAATAGTACTAGGCAAATGAAAATGGCAGAAAGTCATAGATTTTTTTCAAGAGCAACAGAAACTTTATCTCAAGGCTAATAGGAGAGCTCAGTTTCTTGTTCAATTGTCTGTTAGATCACTAGATAATGCTCACTGATTACTGGAAATGTTCAAGTTTTTTGGGGTTTTTTTTGATGAAACATGCTTTTATTTTCCTTTGGAACTTGCAGCTTTATATAAAACAGGACTCTGACAGAAATACATTTGTTTCAATCAATTTTTGTCAGAAAGTTCTCTTAGGTTTAATATGGATTTGACTTTTTTTTCCAAAGCAAGTGACTCAGACTTATGCCAGAGAATCAAGCTAAATGTTAGGCTGCTTTCCTGGCCTGTGAATAGTCTAAATTCAGGGTGCTGATCTTGTTTAGCTTAGTTATTCCATAGATGTATTTATTTTGCTCTTTTAAATCTATAGGAATAGCTTAAAAGGTCTCTAATCATGCTGAAGCTGTAAACAGATGTCTCATTTGAGGTGGTCCTGATTATACTGGGTTTTGACTCAGATTAAAACAGGAGTGGCACAGCCCATGGGTAACTGGTGTCTCCTGAGTCGGGGGGCACTTGCCCCCCCAGCAGCCAGTCAGTAACTGGGGGGGTCCCCCCAGCCAATCGCACTGACCAGAGGAGGGGGTCCTGCCATGGCCAATTGTGCCAACTGGGAGGAGAGGCCGTGGTGCTATTGGCCATGGAAGAACTCCCCTCAGTCAGTGTGATCGGCCTCAGAGGGACCACAGGGATTGCTTCTCCTGGTACCTCCACTTCCCAACCAGTGCTCTTGGGGGGACACCAATGCTCACGCCTGCCCTCCCTGCTCATTAGCTAAGTGGGGAACGCTGCTGTTAGGGGGTGCACCATCGCTCTCAGGGGATACAAATTTAGCCCTTTCAAGCAGTATTGGTGCCCCTCTGCCACTGCTTGACAGGCTTTTCTCTGGAATGAACCATAATTAAGTGAAATGAGCCACAATTAATGTACAGTCTGAAGCCACATGCAGATGTTCCTGGGACCCAATCTAGAATCATGTAGCTTGCTTTAAGCCACATGATTAATAGAGATCCTTGTTTTCTCTGATTAAAATAAAAAGTCCCCAATTTTCAGTTAAAAAAATAATCCCAAATCTATGTTTTTCCATAATTAAAGTGAAACACCACTATATATATCTATATCTATATATATAGTGGTGTTTCATTTAAATCAAAGAAAAATGTATATTTGGGGTTATTTTTTTAACTGAAAATAGGGAATTTTTTAAAAAGTCAGATAAAACCAGGATCCGCGGTGATTATAGATTGTGGCTTACTTGTGCATATGTTCACTGGTTCTGGGAGTCATGCTGGGAATGCAATATAAGTAAGTCAGTGCTAGTGGGTCTGTGCAAGGTGTTGGCAAGTCCAAGGGTGTTGGCAGGATGGGAGGGGGTGTGTGCTGGTGAGTCCATGGGGAAATTTGTAGGTCTGGGGAGTTGTTATTACTTGGAGAGGAGGTGTGGGGAGCTAAAAATAGCCCAATCAGGGTGAGTGAGGGGCAGGAAAACAACAGCCCTAGGGCTCGGGCAAGTGACTGGGATTTCCCGTCCTTGGGACTCTGCTCCAAATATGTACACACATTTGGCAGATCAGGCTAACCCAGGCCCAATCTAACTTACTGCATTCTTCAGGTGAACTAAATCTAACCATAGCTGGCTCAATTTAAATGTAACATCTGCATTTACTCACACAGTAAAAAGTGGTAGTAAATTGTATTTGGTATACTTCACAGGTACTTGAAGTGAGTCTATATATGTAGGATCCCAGGTCACCTGGCTTTCTCCTGGGAGTGCAAAGTCTGTTTAGAGCCTAAACAGCATTTTATTCCATAATTACACCTAAAGTTCTAAATAAGAACAGGGACTTGAATCTGGGCCTCCCTCAACCCAGTTGAGTTTCCTGACTATTGAGCTATTTACTATTTGGGGGTGGAAGCCAGTGTGTGTTTTGGGGAAAGGAATGTTTGTCTGTCTGTGTGTATTCTGAGGTACTTGATTGGTTTTGTTTTGTTGAAAGATTTGTTTCATCTCAAATAAAAATAATTTCTGAAACCTTGATTTTTTTTTTTTGCAAGGCAGACATTTATATTTTCCAGATATCTGTGGGTTTGGATCTTCTCTGAGCCCACTTATTTTTTATATCAGTAGATATGGACTAAAGTCCTACTCTATGCAAGTAGGAATCTTGGAATTTAATTCTGTATCTTTAGTTCAGCAAAATTAATACAGCTATGGAAAAACTGGAAGCACTGGGCTTGGCAGGGTAAAGGAGACATATGACTCACTAACAATAACTATTGTGTGTAGGATCTTATAGCAATACAGCTGAGATAAATCACTAAAACTTTGACTCTAGATGAAGCATGATATATGTTTGTCCATCCCCTTACTGTTGTATCAACTGAGTATTCTTGCATACATGCTTAAACAAGGGTTAACATGTAATAATAACCTTGGTGGTATTGGAAACAGGGAAAACAGGGTTGGCATTCAGGGAGATTGTTTTCTTATGTTAAAGGGAAATTATTTGGTTAATACGTGTGCACAAGTATACATGTACATGTGAAAGAGTGAGAAAGATGAAAATATAAGAGGGTTTCTTATGCTGAAAGAAGACCATGTGAGAAGGATCAGTGTGAGAAGCTGTCTGAGGTTTTAAGCAGAAGAGTTGTGGAACTGGTTCCAAATTTGATATGTATGACAGTGTGGAAAATTTCTCAGTTCTTTGGAGGCCTTGTTTTATTTTTTTTATAAGCAGGGAAGAAATTGGTGTTTCTGCATATGAAAGTGGAATTATGGATGCGCAACAAGCTAGGGAGTATATCATCATTTCAGAAGGGAATTCTCTGTGTTCCTGTGGAAATTGGAGTTAGGAATTATTGAAGTTCAGTAGTGAGAAAGGGAAGCCAGAAATGGAACTGAAGGATACCAATAGATTGCACATTCCAATAAATATGTGCATGCTCTGCAATGAAAAACTCATTTCAAAGTATGTAACATTTGAAAAGGACTGGTTCTCAAAAACCAGAATAGGTGGTTTAGTGAATGTTTACTAGCAGGACACAAACATCAATATTATTCTGTCTCACTGAGCCTCTATGGGCTCCTATACATGTGTGTGGAGCTTGCTTTGAAGTCCTGAAAATCCAGCATACTTGAATAATTGAGTTTGCTGGAGCACAGAAATTGATGCGCTCTAGCAGCTTTACACTTCATGTGTATCAGAGTCCCAGTGCATCTCTGCTCTGAAAAAGTGGTGGTGGAGCACTTTGAAATAAAACACATTCAATGAGCTTTAGTTCAAAATGCCCTGCTGCCATTTTTTCCAGCACCGAGACACACAGGGATGCTGATACATGTGGTGTGTGGGCACTTTTAACTAGTGTGGCTCAGTTATTAAAATGTCCCACAACATGTGTAAAAATGCCCTATGGGTGCATCTACATGTTCATGAATGCATTTTAGGTAATGCACATTAAATTTAGTACCTCCAGGCTCCTATACAGGTTCAGGGAGCCAGCTCCTATGCACTGGAAATCCAGCACATCAAAACAGAGTCAATTAATTGAGTCTGCTGGAGCACAGAAATTAACGGACTCCAGCAGACTCTAGTGCCATGGGTATCAGCATCCCTGCATTGAAAAATGGTGGCAGAGTGCTATGAACTAAAGCTCATTCAATGAGCTTTAGTGCAAAGCACCCCACCACCATTTTTCAGCATGGGGGACACTGATATGTGTGACTGTAACAGGTTGCCTTCCCCAGTGCCAGCTTCCCTGTTCTCCATGCCCTACGTGAGGTGCCCTTGGAGTCCCCATTAAAGGTTTCTTGTGTCCCGGTCTCTACTCTCCTGCCACGTCTTGATGGAAAATTATTATACTGATGTTCTTGTAAGCAGGAGACTGCCTATTATATTTCATATGTTGGGGTCTTCCACCTCCACAGGCCTTGTCCCTTGTCTTTCTCTAGCTAGGCCTCTCCGTCTAAACCCACTAAACAGGGTTTGACTCTGAGGCTCTAGCTCTTTTCCTTGTCTTGAGACTCGTGGCCATCCTTTCTGTTCCAATCTGGAGCCTGGCCCAGAGGCCTGGCCACTGGCCCTACAGCCAAGGGGCTGCAAGTTCAAGGCTGGGGAACAGCTCTGAACCTATGCTGTGCCAGTCCAACAAAAAACAGATGCTGAACCTCAGGTACACCAGACCACCCTGGCCTTTTAGGGCCATGCCCTCTGGCACTGGGGTCTATACACCCCAAAATGCTGTGCCCACATGGGCCTATGTACCCTGTATACTTTGCCTTCTCTGGCACCAGGGTCAGTATACCCTAAAACCTGCGCCCACATGGACACCGGATCCCCACAGTGTAGTGGGGTCCCAATGAGGCCTCCTCCTTCCCCACTAGTCTCACCCAAACCACTGGTGTTATTAAAAAAAAATCATAAACAGTCTGTCCACGAGCTATAACCACCACCAGAATAAAATCTGATCAAAAAAGGCAGCATGCCAGCTTACATTAACTCAGGGGTTGTGCTTTTGCTACTCATTGTTAACTACAGCCCTTCCTCTGGGGTTACAGCTGCTTCTCCAGGTTTCTCAGTAGTTCTCCTCCTTCAGCCTTTGGGCTCCTCACCCAGCCTCTCCGTGGAGCTCTCACACACACACCTTCTCCCTTGACTGCTAGCCTAACTGCTGCCCAGCCTAGGGTTTTTTTGGTCCTGGCTGCCCCCTTCTGGTCACCTGACCAGCTGGCCTAGATCAACTTTTAACCCCTACCTTACCAGCATGCTGTGCCCAGAAAATCCTGATCTTAAAAGGGCCAACCTGTCTTCTGGTAACAGGGCTAGGGTTCTGTGTTAAAGTGACACTCGGGCACTTTTAATTAGTGTGGCTTGCTAATCAAAAGCACTCCCAACCACACCTCCCACAGCATATGTAAAAATGCCTTCCATTGTGAGGTACTAGAAAAATGTGCATTAACCCGTTTTAATGCACATTAGCTAAACAGCATGGTTTTTTTTGTCATGCTTTAATGCATATTTAAATAGGTTAATGCATATTAAAGTGTATGTGTAGATGTTCCCTATGCTCCCATATCCTGAAACCAGTTGACACCTCTCCACATCATCCAGTTTCATCCCATCAAATGTCTGTCTGCTTTAAGAAACAAGTGTGTGTGTGTGTGTGTGTATATATATATATGTATATATATATATATAAGAAACTCAAACAGAATGGACAAATCATAGTATATTTACATCAGGCTTTTCACTCATATCAGAACTTTTACACTGAAATTTATTAAAGGAGATTTTCTTTCCAGGAAACAGATGGTTCAGCAATGCTGTTGGCAACTGATGGCTTATTTATTTAAAAATAATATGTACTGTGACTTTTCTATAGTAACATGTTGTAAAATATTCAGAGCCAGAGTTTTTATCTGAGACTTTGGTTTTATATGATTCAAAATATTACAAGATACTAAATCTTGTAAATTATGTTACATAAGTAATAGCAGGCAGTGGTGAATGAAATACCCACAGTAAACATGCATATTTTCCAAATTTTACCTGATTTTTGGTTTTGTTGCTAGTAAAAACTCAAACTAACTCCTCTTGGGCATGTCTACATAAGACGTTTACTGCAGAGCTGGCTAATTAGCTCCTCAGTAAAGCAGGAGTGTCTATACACGATGTACTATTAGGCTGGAGCAAACTAATTAAATCTGCTATAGGATAGTATGGTGCAATACAAGTACTATGCTACAGTTGAGTTATTTACTCCACCACAACACACATGGTAGATGCTGACCAGGGCTGGCTAGGGCACAAGGCTGGTACAGCCTGGGGCTGCCTGCTGGCTAGTACCACACTGTAGCACCCTTGTGCCTAGTCAGTCTCTCTGCAGCACATTGAGCTGGGTCAGAGCAGCCCTGGGCTGGTAGGCCTCCTGCCAGCCAGGGCTGCTGCGCCCTGGCTCAACATGCTTCAGTCCCAGGCCCACATGTAAATGCTACACTTGGGAACAATAAATTCTGGTTCAAGTGGTGCTGGAGTTTATAGCATTGAAATAATTTCATGTGTAGAAGTTCTCTTTACAACCAGATTCATGTCCCCTACTTACGTTGAGGACCATGCAACTGAAATTAGTGGAACCACTTATGGGGTGAGTTACCACTCTAGATGACCCCCCAACAATTAGAGTCTATATATGGAAGATTTATAAATTTATTATGATTTTAATGTTGTAGAATTGAATTATTGGAGGGTTGTCTTGGATTCATCTCCCTTGCACTGCTACAACAAGGAAAATAGTGGTTGGGGAATCAGGTGACTGGAGAGGGGGTTCAGGTGGCCCCCCCTGCCCTCCCTGTTTCTTTCCCCTGCAGTCTACTGCCCTGTCCTCCTGCTCAGGCTCTGTTCTCTTGGTGAGTACAATGTGGAAGTGAGCTGCATGTGACAATAAGAGGAAGAGAGGAACAGAGGAGAGGACAGAAGCTGCAGTGTTACAGAAGACTACTGTGCTTCTGACTCTAGCTCTGACCCGGACTCAGGGCCAGATTTGGAACTGCAGGAGTTGCCTGTCCCCCTTCCCTTCCCAATTTGAAATGCAATGGACCAAAGAACACTGACTTTAAAGTAAACATACTGATAGTAACTTGCATATATGCAAATTACTATGGATAAGTTCATCCAGCCTTGATGTATTTTAACTTGTTGCAAGCTCCTGCAAGTTTGCATAAACACACTTTTGAGCAGCACTTTTGTACCTGCTGGCTGTGTCTACATGAGATGCTTACTGCACAGTGGCTCATTACTGCTGCACAGTTGCGTTGCGTGGCATGAACCCTGATGTGATGCTACTGCCAAATAGTAATGAGCTACTGCACAGTAATAACAAACTACTGTGTAGTCAGTGTTGCCGGGAAGCCATGCAGGGATGCTGCTGCACAATGGCTCTGATTACTGCGCAGTCATTTAGTACTTGGGTATGAAATTACTAAATGGCTGTGCAGTGACAGCTGCACAGTTGGTGTCTCATGTAGATGCTGCCACTAGTTACATCTACATGAGGCATTGACTGAGCAGTCATTGCTGTGCAGTTATTTAGTATTTGTATAAATGGGTACTCAGTGAGCGCACAGTAACTCTGGTTGCTGTGTGATCACTTGGTGCTTATTTATACAAATACTGCCAGAGTTACTGTGCAGTGGCATTGCTGAATGGCTTTTTGGTGAGGCTGACTGTGCAGTAGGCTGAGACTACTGCACAGTAGCATCATGTCACACTTTCTGCCATGTGATGCTACTACGCAGTAGTCATGAAAATGATTAGGGGGCTGGGGCACATGAGTTATGAGGAGATGCTGAGGGAATTGGGTTTATTTAGTTTGGAGAAGAGAAGACTGAAGGGAGATTTAATAGCAGCCTTCACCTACCTGAAGAGTAGTTTCAAGGAGGATAGAGCTAGACTGTTCTCAGTGGTGGGAGATGACAGAACAAGGAGCAATGGTCTAAAGTTGCAGCAAGGGAAGTTTAGGTTAGATATTGGCAACAATTGTCTCACTTATAGTAAAACACTGGAACAGGTTATCTAGAGAGGTGGTGGAATCTCCATCCTTGGAGGTTTTTAAGACCCAGGAAGGCAAAACATTGGCTGGGATGATCTAGTTGGAGATGGCCCTGCTTTGAGCAGGGGGTTGGACTAGATGACCTCCTGAGGTCCCTTCCAACCCTAATTTTCTATGTTTCTATTGGAAAGAGTTACTGGCCTTCAAAACTTTGTTCACAGACTTTATCAGAGCTTCACAAGCCTCTTAGCACATTTCCCACAATTCTAGTCATGCTGAAATAATGTATGGCTGTATATCAAAATTAATTGTTCCTATATATTTTAAATAAAATCATTTATGCTACATTCAGTTGAGTTTTGTTCTGCGGTTTGCTGAAATATGCAAGTGTAATACAAATTTGTCTGTAAGGGAGACAACCTGGGCAAAGATTAAACAACGAAATTAAAAGACTAACCTTGGTGAAGAGAAACCTCTGGGGGCCTATATATATGCAGAGGCTGCTCTGATACACTGTAATTGCAATGTGTTGAAGCAGACTCAGTTAATCAATTAATTACCATGCTCCAGTAGACTCCAGTATCATGTGTATCAGCATCTCTGGGCTGAAAAATGGTAGTGGGGACATTTTAACTAAAGCTCGTTCGATGAGCTTTAGTAAAAACACCCCTTGCTTCCATTTTTCTGTGCAGGGATGCTGATGCATGTGATGCTCCGGGCACTTAAATTAGTGTGGGATATTGGAGCTGCTCTAATTAAAGTGGTTCCCGTCCCTACCCTGCCTCCTGGATCATGTCTATAAACAGCCTCTGAGTCTTATATAGCCTAAATATTCATCTTTCATTGCTCGCTTTTCTATTGATGAAGCTGCATCCGATTTCAAGAACATGTCCTTATACATTAAAGTACCCATCAAGAGACAAATGGAAAGAAAGTTTTTTAAAGAAGCAAGGCTTCCATACATGGAACAATTTCCATCCTTTAAGTGAGGCTTTTTTGTGATCTCCCAAACCTTGTTGTAAAAATAAAATAAATCTAATTACTTCATCTAATCATCTATTCTTTTTTTCTCCCAGATTATTGTACTTCACAATACTTTATGTTATTTGAACATGATTCTTGTGTAGAGGGTTGGTTTTATTACTGCAAAACAATTACATTTGGAAATATTTTATTTTGAATGGTTGCTTAGTTCAACTGAGTTCCTGCTTCTCCTCCTCCTCCTTCACATTCTTCTTTCTGAATTTAGAATTTTTTTAATGTTTATTCTTTATTCACAGTGATATTTAGTAAGATACCATTTACTTGTGAAACTACATTAGTAAATTATGCCAAGCATTATAAAATATTCAGTTATTTATTTCTTTTCATACGAATGTATTAATGTCATTGCACAAAACACTAGAAAGCCTTCATTTAGTGTATCGTGTACCGTCCATGTTAGTTACATGTATTGAAGATTCATTTAAATTAGGACTATTAAACAGAGGTCCATTATATTGATTAAGAAAAATTGATTAAGAAAAATGGCAGGACTAAATGAACTAGTTTTGTTGAGTCTAAAAACGTGGAAATTTGAGTCAATAAATTCACTGGAGGGGGTAAACTTTAGGGAGGGAGAAGACCTATATAAACTAAAGGGCAGTTTTGACACAAGAACAAATAGGTAAAAACCGTCCATAAATTTATTTAGACTGAAAATTGGAAAGTGGTTTCTCACCTTTAGATGAGTGAAAATTGAAACAGCTAATATGACCAATATTAGGGGCAAAAATACAAAACTTGATAAACTTCTGAAAGGGATAACATGATCTTTCACAGTTAGGGCGGCTAGGAGCTGGAACCAACTTCCAAGGGAAGTGGTGCTGGCCCCTACCCTCGGGGTCTTTAAGAAGAGGCTGGATGCCTACCTGGCTGGACTCATTTGAGTCCCGTTTCTTGTTTTGGGGTTTTTGTTGTTCTCCCGCCCTGGCGGGGGGTCGGGCTAGAAGATCTACTAGGTCCCTTCCGACCCTTAATCTATGAATCTATGAATCTATGATCTAGCTGCCTGTAAAAGCAGAGGATTGAATTCAGTAATTCAAGAGGTCTCTTCAAGTCCCATGTTCTTTAGCAAGTTAGTTAATTTGATTTACCTTCAGTATATGGCCCCTTGTTCTTTTCTGTCCAGTAATAAATATTTAATTAACTTCCTATTTAAATCTTATGTACTTGTTTCTTTTCATTGGAGATTAAATTCTTACTATGAAAATTAGTTTTCTTGACAACTAACACCCTTTAAAAATCTGGTTGTCACACTTAAATGAGAGACCTGTGTACCTACGTAGAAAGAGTTTTTGACAAGGGCTAAGTACAGGCATTCACGAAGCCTTAAGTGGAAGTGCCCTAACTTTTGAACTTTACTCTCAACACCCAAGGTTAGGTCAAGATTGAATGCAACAGATGTTAGCTCTTCCATGGGGTGAGGCTCATAGCCTGCCTGCATGGACTGAGCCCAGCGGGGGGGGGGGGAGAGAGGGGGAGCTCTTGCACACCTCCCAATGTACCCTGCAAGCTCTTTGGGTTG